TATTTTCGTTAAAAAATCATTTTGTGTGAGCATGTGAACAAGTAGATTATTTGGCAATGTTGCTTTTTTTAGGATGTTGTTTAGTTTGAAGAAAGCTCTGTAAGAATATTCTGAAGCTGTTGTCCTGGTTCGTGATTCACGAATGAGTTATGTAGAGCTATAGCCAGCTGAGAAGGTCCGGTTACTGGTTACCTGTTACCCGGACAAGTGTGCTGGCAACAGGCTCGTCTTAAAGTATCGACCGTGACAGTCGCTCGATTCCAGTCACAGTTTTGTCTGATAGTTTTCTGACAATAATTTCACTCCTTCTTTTTTTTTTTTGTTACATTCTCAATCATATATCCATTATTAAAATGTATGAAAATCGTCACAGCCAATAGAAATATTAAAATTCTTTTTGTTACTAGGCATCATTCGGAAGAACAATGCGAAAACGTTTCTGTGTTCCTCTGTTCTCAAGTACTAAAAGGAAATGACTCGGTTAATGAATGAATCATATTCTCCACCAACTCTGATATAGTGTAACAGTCAAATTTTTAATTAGTTTAGACGCACTTTACGGATTAAAAACTTTCTCTTTGACACGATTGAATTATACATTCAATTTTTGACGTTGAATTTTGTATTCAATTCTACTGATCATGATCGCAATAAAAAAATAAAATAGATAATATTAAATAATCGTTTACTAGTTATGCCTCTTCGCTTCTTAGACAATAGATAATAATTCGAATTATTATCGATCGATAATAGATGCTAATGAAAGATAATTGATACCACAATCAAATTTTAGAATGAAATATTATCAAGTAATAACACAATTTAGTGAATTTGTGTCAATAATGCTTTCAGTTGATATCGTATGCATTTTAGTAGGTAGAGAAATGATATTTATATTTACATATAATTCTCACGATATTTCTGCGATAGTAAAACTAGTTTATAAATAATCGAACTCGTAAATTGCCTTTAGCATCACATTGTTAATGGTTCCTAATAATATAACGTCACTGAATGTAAAGTTGTAACTTATTTTCCTGAACGGTCCAGCATTCATACGTATTTCTTCATTCAACAAACTTAAACATCAACTTCAAACAATAATACAATTCTTTAAACATGTCAACTGCATGGATATTCCACAACGTTGTTCGATATTTCCAAAATAGTGAGTCAGTTGTAGCAAGTTTTAAGGTCTATATAAAGAACCAAAAAAGTAATTTATATAATAAATTTCTACGTGGGAAAATGATGAAGATACATATGTATTTAGTTCCCGAGTCAAGCGAATGTAGGACAAGTTCAAACGTTGCATCGGCCCACTTTGTTCATGGGACCAAGCTAACCCGATCGTAGAAATTTAAAACATATTTAAAACAATGTACAAGATTGTTACATTTCTTGAATTAAATAGACATTTTCTCGTTACAGTAATTAACCATTACAGAATGACCTCAAGAGAAGATGGTGATTTAATCGATCTTGGAAACGACAGTTGTGTGCCACAGGTACCGATTCAAGAATCATCGCCTGACGAGCAGGAACATCTTCTCGACGTGTGCTTACCGAAGTTAGAGCAAGCATTGTCATTGACAAAAAAGCAAGAACAAGTACAATGTATAAGCGACAATGGCGATGTATTAGTCACGTTAGGTCACGACCAAGTGGTGCCGAATCATAAAAGAATCGATGTCGTTTCATCCGATACGATAAAAAGGATTCGTGACATAACTAAGAACTTAGAACCTGTTATAAGAAAGACTTGTTCCGACATTAACGAAGAGCATCAAGACACTGTTGATTATGGAAATTCATCAAGAAATAAAGACGAACCTTGTCCTAGCGAAAAGTTCGAAGACGAGACGTTCGAGGCACAGGAGATCAATAATGCTTTCAATTTTCTGACAGAACATGACGACAACGAGGATCAGACTGACGTGAAGTGTAATCATTACGATCAAGTTATAAACTCTGGACTAGTCTTATTAACCTGCCGTGCTACAAAAAACGAAGATTTATTGAATTACCACGGCAATGATTCCTCGCAAGTTCTAAACTGTTGGGAAGCAGACACTGATTTAAACGATCCAGCTTTTGAATTATGTCCGGGTAAACTTTCTGGGAATATTTCGAGGAAGAGTAGGTCTGATCCTGTTGATTATAATGAACTCGAAGTGAATGACATTGGTTTTGAAAAACAAACATTTACACGAACAAATAAAAGAGGATCATTTCAGCATATGTATCGTAAATCTTGGACGGAAGGAACTACACTTACAAATGCGTCGCAAGATATATTTTCTCGATTCGATAGGTCAACCAGTTTAAGGGAATATAATTGCGAGCCATCGACTTCCAATGACATTCATCAGCAATCCAGCTTTATTTCGAGGTATTTACTTCAATGTTATTACTTACTCTTACGCTTCTTCACACGTAATGAAACGTCAACTATTAGAAGTAGAAAACGTGACATCATTACTAACATTGTTAATAGTTATCTATTATATAATGTGCAACTTACGTGTTATGTTTTAGCAATTATTGAGTAACATTCCTTAATCAAGAAGTCGAATCCTTCAGATACAGTTAATAGATACCTGTTGTACTGTAGCACGAATCAAAACAGATTTGATTTATATTGAGTTCATAGGAATAGAAAAAAGATACTAAATTGTGTCGTGTTTCTATAAATAGAAGACAAGGTTCAAAAGAAGGGTCAGAAGTTCTTTCGATACTATACCATACTATATTGTATTCGATTCTTTCTGTATTTTCTAAGATGCAGTTAAATTTTTTTTTTTTTCGATTTTCAAATGCAAAATGTTATAACATTGTCACATCATAGTAAAATGTAGCATGTTAAATTTGTTGAGTTAAATTGAAATCAGTAATATAATTGGAGGATAGATTGTGAAAAAATCGTATGCGTATTCGCATGTAAATATTCGTGTGCGTGTAGCTTTGCTTCAAACTTTGAAAAAGAGCATCCGTTGCACGACAACAGCGACTAGCCGGAAGTACTGGCACGAGTTGTGTGCGAGAAGCGTGGATTCAAGTCGGCATTGAATAGATCTTTAAAGTGGCACGTGTAGCCACGCCTGAGAAACAAAGGTTTAGTTTAAAACTTTCTCCGTATGACCTGTGTCTCGTAAGTGTTTTCTTAGGATTCACGTTATCTTCTTATCGTTCGTAAGACATCTAGGTAGCATACCTAGCAGAACAAGAAAGAATATACGCATATGATTCTTTTTTAAATTAACACGTAATTGCAAGATAGAAAGAAAGAAAAAAAGGAAAAATTTAAAAACAATCGTTGCTTACAGCTGTTCAGCGAAAAAAGGACTGGAAACGAATGGAGACGATCAAGAGGATGGATGTTCAGAATGTTCGGAAGTAGATTGGTCGTGGTTGGAGGAAGTAGAATATCCGCGGGCTACGGAGTCGTTAGCACCCGGTGTGATTGACGCGGTTCAGGAGAACACCGAAGGAGGGAATGCATCCCCCACCAGTGAAAATACAAGGCGCAGGCGCGGCCGCGAGCACCAGGCTACCGAGGCGGGCTGCAGTGCTGCGATGTCTGTCTCTGGGACGGTAAAGTCCTTAGTGGTTAATGGTTCACGATGGTCAACTGCCGATCCACTATCTGACTATAACGGCAATAATGAAGATGAAACTGTACATTGTAACAACGAGACTATCAATCGGGAAACACGCGATAACCCTACGCTTGTTAACTCCTGGGTACGGGCCTCAATGAGACGTTTGCGCCACTTGAGATTACCAGAAGAAACTGAACGACAACGAAACATCGATTCGAATAATTGCCGCGGAACAATTGTGTCCGCGCCAAACTCCCTGCCAGACATTGCTTTAATTGCTCCGGAAATATTAGCTGCCCAAACAAACGGTACTTCCGGCACCCTCAGGCCATCCAGCGCTCCTGTAAGAAACTTAAATAATTCAAACGTAGTGCCATCACGGAGAGGTGGAAGACAATTTAGAGCAAGTCGATCACAAAGGACGAGGAGCCGCGAAGTCGCTTCGAGGCAAAGCAGCGTTTTATCGTCGACCACGGGCAGTGACACAACTGCTTCAGGAACCACGACGTGCTCCAGCTCTTTTGGCGGTGCTTCCACAAGTCCACCTTCCAGCACGGCGACAAGTCCGCAACGTATCAGTTCCAGACGGTGAGAGATCTCACTTTTTTTTTTATTATTACTTGTTTTATTTTACGTCGTTGACAATAGAGAACCTAAAAAAAAAGAAAATATATACATCTACTAATGTTGGTTTTCTTATTGTTACGGAAAATATTATTACGGACAATAAGCTAAACCGTTGTAGACTCTTGCTAAACTCACGAACCGCATCTTTCATTCTCGTTTGTCCAATCTTATTGCCACACTCACCGGAAATGAGAATCGGCTTAATGAGTTAGTTGTTGGTCGTTGCTCATCCATGCTTGACACTACTTACGCTTTAGATCCTTCTTACGCAAACTACCGATACACTTCGTGGACAGAATATTAGGAAATTAATTTGAGAAGTTATTTCTATATAGATTTTTATCAGTAATATTTTTTACTTTATTCTTATTCAATTTCACTTGAAATGTGGATGTTGATTTTTCTAACAGCAATGACACCGTCAAATCGATCACTAACGTATGACGTTGCAAGTAGCTTCGATACATTCCCTTTCCACGGTGTTTAGTGTGCTACACGTTGAAAATCAAGCAACCCATGAATTTTTGTGTTTAATCGTAATTAAATATATAACCTGGAGGATTTAGAATGCACGCTCGATGCGTACCAGGAATGGCAAACGACGAAAGTTGCGATAATTGTTCGTTGTCGTGTGCACTGTTTAAATGTGCGCATGCTTTACACTTTATAGTTTCGTCACGAATGCATGCACTCGATGAAACGCGTTATGGTAACAGCCTAACAAATAGATCTTATTCTCTTTCACGTGCATTACTTAATAAATTTTCTTTCTGGATATAGAGAAGCAACAATTTCGTTTCTCAATGTAATTATCTGAGATAATTGTTCTTATTTCAATTTCTCTTTACTTTTATAGCTCAGAGTTGCGGAGAACTTGTAAAATTTCAGTTGTTTGTACTTACTCCTTCCTGAGATGATATTACTAGATATTGCATGCTACTCGGTTGAGTTTACAAAGGTCAATGATCTCGATTGCTCACAGATTGTTTCGCTGTCGATGAACCGCGTAACCTGTTGCATAATCCGTATTCTAGTGTCGTCGAGCATGATCTTTTGAGAAAAAGTCAAGAGAACTTCCTTGTAAGTGTCTGCTTGAGAAACGTGAGAAAATTTCAGAAGTCCGGATCTTAATTGCAGTAATTTTATTTTTTTATCTACAAAGTTAAAAAAGCTTTGTTTAAGTTTAGTTTAATATTTAGTTTAATATTTGACAATTGATCAATAAATAGATCAATTTAATTCGATATACGTACTCGGTGTGTAACTGTAATATCTACGGAACCATTGTAATTTAAACTAGTCACTTTCTCCTGTAATTCGATGGTTAGAACGCGTGTGTGCAATTGAACAAAAAGATAGATCAGAGTTTCATTTTACCAAAGTTTATGATACGATTTTTCCGCCACTGAAACATATTTTTAAAATTTAAAAATTTAGTAATTTGAAATTTAGTTAATCAAAATAATAATATTTTCCGAGAATCGAGAAGGTTCAAAGGAATAAATAATTTTTGGACGGCTCGACGATAAATAACCCTTTCTTTAACACCATAAAATCTGGTAACGTTAATGCAGCATCAGCGATTAACAACCAGTGACATTAGGCAATTTTCAGTAATTAGCGACCAGTGACGTTACGCAGCGTCATGTGATTTACGTTTATAAATTCTTAACAGAACTTGTCGACCATTGGTGAAAATACCCATTCGTTATAGTGTTAATGTACCACATGTTCACATATTTACCTGAAACAATAATTCGTTTAACTTTACATATTTCTACATTAACACATACCGATTCTTGAATAAATATTTAGGACTTTTCGAAACTTATTCAAAGATTCAAAATTATTAATACATTAATACATTAAGTATAAGTACATAATGTTAATATAGAGTTTAATGTAATTGTATTGATTTCTGAACAATGAGTGTTGTTTTTGGGTCAGTAGTAGTACGGGAATCATTGTAGCTCCAAGTCAACGGTACTGCTTGGTGGAGCTCATTTAACGGTATATCCATGTAATAATTGTATTATTTTCCTTAAAATTTTGAAAATTGACTATTTTCATTAAACTCATCTGAGTCTTGTCTAGAAAGAAAAATGAGATATAGTATGATTATTATTATTACTAAGAGTTCTATACATTTATACGAATAATAAGATCTATGGATTATCAGGTTAAGATGCATGTATATGTTTCTTTCTATTGATCATTTTTCAAACAAAGTGTTTGTACAAATGCACCTTGACAAACAGATATCAAGCATTCAGAATATCGGCGTCAGTTGTCGAATATACATTGACAAATTTTTCTTTATTTTATTGACAGTAAAATAAAGAAAGCTTGTTTCTTTGTAATGAATGCAAAAGAAGTTACCTTTTATCGTAAAGGAAAGATGCGATATATATATATATATATATATATATATATATATATATAAGGTTAGTTGTAGAAATCAAAAGGATCGTATTTTTGGATGTAGTTAACAAATGTATGAGAAACCGATTTTTCTTTTTGTGTCTTTCATTTCTTTGAAAAGTTTCAAAAATACTTTTATATTCATCGAAATATTTTCTGAAAAAAACAAACGTTATATTTAGTTATGCAGCTATGTAGTTATGTGATAACTACATAGATAACTACATAAATACTAGAAAAACTAACACTAGTATTTGGAAAAAGTTAAAAGTACGGCTATATAATACGTATAATTCAGATATGATGCTAACTGGAAGTTCGAATTTCTCTCATTCAGAGTTCTCTTCACAACATTCTCACGCCTAAACGGACGTTATCGG